TATGTTGCACAGCTCTTCTTTTCTTTATAGCATCTAAACACCTCAATACCTGAGGTTATTTGCTTTGGTACTGCATAAGTCACAATTGTGGAGGGAGATGTTAGGAGCTTTATTCAAAATAGAGTAGAACAAATTATAAAATTAAGACATGTGAAGAGAAGGAAAATACAGCTACGACTGTCACTTGTTGGCAAGCACTGCCACATGGTATAAAGCCTGGTTCTCTGAGTCAGTGTTTTTCTTTCCCTCTGAAATTTGTGGTTGAGGAGCTAGTCAGCAGCATTGCATAAAACCAGCAAGAAATTCTGGAATTTACGCATGAGGGTATAGTCTTTGCAAAGCCAGTGGCAAGAATTTGGTGAGTCTAGTCTGCTCCACATCACACTGCGGTTGTCCTGCATAGCTGGGATTTAACTGCTCACTATCTACTTGAATCTAGATAGGAAAATACTGGTTTCTTCCTTTTAGGTTTTAAGTTTACTAGAACGATTTCAGCATGAATTGGAGAACATTCTTCAGCCCAGATCAGTTTAAATAAATGGGGGAGGATTGCTAAGTAATATTGTGGTGAAGAGACTTTGAACACTAAATGCCTGGATACTGTAGTGGCACACATCAAGAAACTTTGATGAAATGTTCAGCAAGATGAATAAAAAATTTAACAACTTGTGCTGGTTTAGGCCCTGCCGGGACCAGACACCACGTTGCCGTTGCCCCTCCCCCACCCTCAGACACAAATAGGGCACAAACCCCAGGTTAAAATAAGAAGAAATTCAATAAAACAGTGTAATAAGCAATCTGAACAACAACAATAAACAGCAATAACAGTAAACAAGACAAAAGATGTACAGAGAAATACCGCAATGGTTACAGACAGCCCCATGCTTCCCGCGACCAAAGCCACAAAGGAAAAAGTTCCCACGCTGCACCGGACCTGACATCAGCATGGTATGAATAACCCAGCTGGAGATCCCTTCCCCCTCTCTGCTGGGGAAACTTAACCCTATCCTAGCTGAACCAGGACACAACTGATAGAGAGAAAGAGAAAAAATATTTCTTTTTTGTTTGCTTTGCTTTTTCTTTCCAGAAAGCACATACATCTGCTTGTTCACCTATAGATATTATGTTAGAAAAGACTACTTAGACTTTTGTAATAGGAAGGGGTCAGGAAAGCATCCTGTGGACTGAGGATTTTATAAAACTCAGAATAAAATACTGGCTATTATAAAACCAACAGGAACTGTAAGTTAGGCATGGAAACAGATACATGTGTTTATGTAGAGTCATCGCTCCACAGTGTGATGTACCACTTGTTCAATTGTAAGTCATTCAGAGAACTGATGAAAGGACTGAAGCATCTTCTACATTGTGGGATTTCAGACTAGGACCGTCGAGAGTTATTGATCAAGATCTGTTATAACCATTAAAAATGCTTTCTCTTGTCCTATCAAAATAAGAATAATTTAGGTTTATTAATTTCACAAGTAGTGAGTACATTGCTGATTAGTATGGATAAGTTAAAAAATTTTCATGGTTTTAGATCATACAGAGTTTTCAGTGAAAATGCTGCCTTTTGAAAATCTCGAATGGTTTTACATGATTTCCACTTTTTGAGATCCCAGCTATGTGTATTCTGGGATGAACAAGGAAGGACACCAATGTTCTCTTCTTAAGCATCCCAGACGCTTTTATATCAAACAAAGCTACTGCAAAGGCACTGTTCAGTCAAAGAGGGCACATAAGTCCAAGGCCTGTGGGCTGCTGCTACTAGCCAGAAAGAGAGATTGTGAGGTCCCCCATGGTGTGGGAGGTGCAGGTGGGAACTGCAAGGAAGAGCCAAGAGGGCAGCAGTAGGTGCCGGGAGTGATCCTGGGTCAGAAGAGGTAACCCGGGGGCCAAAGTGCCCCCACAGCTCTGTGAGCATTCCCAGAGTGAGAGTGCTCAGTACCACAGCATGTTGGCCAGAAAGCCAAGAAGCATGAAAATGAGAGAGGAGGAAAGTTAGCCTGATGATCATTTTTAGAGCAATAAAGCTCTTGGTAAACATGTAACGTACTGGGGTGTCCAGTGGCTTCTAATGCTTCTGTATGCTAATAGTGATAGCAGGTTGTTCATCCCCATCCTGGAAAAGCCTCTCTGACCATATGTCTGTTCAGACTTCAGAATAATAAATTAGATCAGAATTGAATGCCCCATTTATATTTATAGAAAAAAAATCTTTTTTTTGTTCTAGCAAAGCTAATGACATACAAGGCAAGTATCCAGCTTTCAAAAATGCATGAAGTTCAGTGGTTTTATAATGCTTTTAGAAAGGAATGGATTCAAAGCAGAGAAAGCCATTATGTATCCCCGAGTTGTGTTCATTCCTCTAAACAATCATCAAAGACAGGCCAGGTTGTTTTTTGAAGTGAATGCTTTCACTCTTCTTTATTATTAAGATTACTAATACAGGCTGCTGCTGCTGCCTCCAGAAGCAAGCAAACATTTTTTCAGCTCTTCCCTGAGCTTCTTATAACAAGTGCTGGTGATCAATTAGCTAGTTCATTAAAAAGTTACACATTATTTTATTGAGGCAAGCAATTCTGAATCAAAGAACCCAATTCGCAGATCTAGGTTGAAGCACATAATTGGCATGTATTTTAGGATCACTGTTAAAGCTATAAAAAAGATTTACTAGAGAAGGAATGGGTCCAAAAACCCTAAAGGAAGGAATATGTTATTTGTGTGACTCAGTGTTACAAATGGACTCATTTAATACTAAGGTCTTATCTACATTACAACAAAAAACTGAAATAAGTGTAAACCTCTTTTGATTTAACTTCTTTAGCAAGAAGTTATCCTTCATCTGATACTCATAAATTACATGTTATTACTGCATTTTTTTCTGCTATGATTTTCATTATTGCTCTCAAAGATGTATTTTTATTATATCATTCAAATTTCGTTGAGAAGTTGACACCGAGTTAACTGTAAAACAAAATTTTAGAAGTATGTTCACCATGTTGTTGAGATTGACAGTGAGTCTGGGATTAAAGCTCCAGTTGTGCATGCACGGCTTAGTGGGGAACCATACACACATGCTAGCAGGACATGCTTGAGCATTTGCAGGTTGAAAAAGAGGGAAGGCACATTGTTCAAACGATATTTTAGAAACAGTGATATTTTGTTCTGAGTTTACAAGCAAGCCAAATCTTGAAACTTGAGGAAAAGAGTTTGGGTTAAGGAAGCTTAATTTTTTAAGTACTTGGAAAAAGCTATTTACTGATGAGTTCTTGCAAGTCTTCTTTAAGCAAAAGAAAACTATTTTTGGATTTGAACTGAGAAGTATAAATAATCAAGTCTTAAATATATTAAAATGTGCATAGAATCTACTTCCTGTTATAAATTTGATTGCTTGATTGCCACAGCTTCTGTAGCTGATATTACTGTTGGACTTTGTGTGATGGCATTGAGGCTTTTTTTTTTTTTTTTCAACTATTAGCCTTCCCAAGGGTTCTTTTCAGACAAAATGTTATGCATCAGCTCTTATTTGAATGTAAGCCTATTGAATAGCATTCTCCTCTCTGCCAACTTGGCAGCAAGTTCTTGTGCTAATAAAAGAGGTTACCCCAGATAGAGATCCCAGATGTGCCTGAACTACTTTTATTAGGACTATGGAGGGGCTCAGTGTTTCCTTCTAACTGTTTTCAAAAAAGGTGTGGGCTTGCCTTCATAATTGCCCAGAATTGTATTACATCACTGGAATTTTTTTTCCTTAAAGTGAATAAAATGTTAGATGTGTTAGCACAGAATAAGCTTAGGAAATTATTGATGTTCAAAACAATGGATGTCTTTTGCCACAATACAAACCTTGATTTGACCCTACTGAATTCTGTTGAGAGAGAGGAGAACATTGCTATTCAACATTGAGTTAAAAATACCTTTATTGCTAGATATTAATGAGATGCAGTATCATGATTAGAATAAGTAACAATAGATGTTTCTCAGAGCAGCAACATATCTGTGGCATAGGACATGCTTGACTATAATGTCAGTTATTTCTTGAAACCATAGAACACTATTTGTTGTGTAGAATTGAACTTAGTGATAAAGTGAACTTAGTGGCTGCCTGATATGGGGCTAATGTAGACTGGAATTGCTAACATCAAAATTCTTTTTTTTTTTTTTGTGAATGCTATTTAGTAATTAACAGTTTTATTGCTAAAAATGTATTCAAAATTTCTCCATACTATTTAGTTGAATGTGCTGGCTGCAGTTTTAAAACTTCACGAAATGGGGTAATCTAACTGAGATACTTAGTAAAATAATATAATTTGTTAAATTTACTGTTGCTATCCATAAATCATAAATAATACGACGTTTACAATCTTAAATAATAATCTTGATTTTCCTTTCAAGGCCACAAACTTCCTGTTGAAATCTTTATTGTTGTCAAAATGTGAATAGAGAAAACAAGGTTTTAATTAAAATAATTCATTGCTTGCTTTTATTGTTCATCTTATTAAATTATGAAAAATGAATGGTGCTCTAATTTCTGGTCATGTCTCTGGTTGATTTTTATTGTCATTGTGCCAGATACAAAAAGAAAGAAACTGCACAGTTGATTAATTTCATAGTGAAACACATGATAGTATTCCATTTCAGATTTTCAAAACCAGGGTTTGACTCAAAAAGTCCCATTAGTTTCAATGGGCTTTGGATCTGGCACAGGGTTAACAGCTTATTTTTCAAACAACTAGAAAGAGGTGTAAATGTCAAAGGTGATAGCTATACTGTGAGTTCCATAAACTACAAAAAAAGTTACTACTAAAGCTCTATTTTTCCTTAGTTTAACAGCTTCTATGAAAACAGTGTTAATAAGTATATCAGGAACAGTATATAATAATGAATCAGGTACGTTAAAAAACCTTTAAAACTCCTTTTATATAATAATTGGAAAGTTAAAAGTGACTTAAAATCCCTGACTTCTCATGCTGTGATGTAAATTGTATTTTTTTTAGGTTCCAAATTCAAAGAGGGAAAACTGATCCGACTGGTTACAAGAGCCTGGGGGACTGTTTTAGGACTATTTTCCAACGAGAAGGGTAAGAGTATATGTTTTTAAAATTGTCAATTTTATGTGACCTTTTTTAATCACCCATTTTCCAGACATTAGATCCTCTTTATATTCCACCCTTTTTTGCAATTCCCAGAATTTGGCAAACATTGTACTGTTACATAACGAGCACAATTTAAAATGTCTTAGCATTAGTTACAATACCAAATTTTGCTGCTAGGATGTGTTTAAAGAGCAGAACACACAGCTGTGTAGAGACACGGGGACAAGCACTGCTTCGGGTCTGGGAGCAGGATGGCCACATCAGTGTAGTGCAGGATCTAGGCGCTTGTATCTTGTCCTGGTTTTCTGAGCTAGCTCAGCCTGAGCCATTACCAGTTCAGTGAAGTGCTTGTTTCCAAGCTCTGACGACCTGGCATTCCCAGTTAAATGTGGTAGACAATGTTTCCAGGATCTATTATACATGAGCAAAATTCCACAGCTTTTCAGTTTGACAGAATATGGAAGAGGATTTATGGTCCTTAGTCACCTGAATCTACTGTCTTCAGAAGGTACCGCTGCTCCAAGCCTGAGCTCCTCTAAGGGACTTGGGCTCTGATCCAGAAAGACATTTAAATACATGCTTAATTTTATGAGCAGTCCAGTTAAAGCCAGTGAATGTAATGGGACTGATCATATGCTTAAAGTTAAGCCTGTTATCCACAGGAGCTCTTCAGGAGCTAGCCTTTAATCAAGGTAACTCTAATTAGTAAATACCAGTTTTGAGTAGCTGGCAGGCTTTCCATAAGAACTTTGTAAATGCAATAGCAACCCATTTTTCATCCATATATTCATGAAAATGGAACTGTTCTTATATCTAGTGGCATAGATACCACATATGGAGGCAGCATAGGTGCGGTGATGCAGACTTCTTGTGTCCACAAGCTGTACTGGAAAAAGAGAGAGGTGAGACGAGCAGTGAAAATTAAGAACGAGACCAGTTTTTGTTCTTGCAGTGAGTTTTAGCTAAGCTACACTACATCAGTGTGTAGCTACAGACCTGGATGGTTTGAGTTGCTAAAGTAGGGAGATGTAGAGAAATTTCATTAAGGTGTTGAGAGAGGAAGTTGTCACATTTGCCCTTATCAGTGGTAAATTCATATTCAATGAAAGACTAATGTTGTGCAATATCACTACAAGGCATTAAAAAGCTTAAAAGCTAAAAAGATTTCACAGAAATTATGGTTTCTGGGGGTTTCTAAGATGAGCATATGTTTTTACTGCTTCTTAAAAGAAAACTATGTTTTTGCAATAGGGAAGTATTAATATTTACAATCATGTCAACCTTTTTAAATAAAGAACTAGTTTCAGTATTTAAATCAGTGAGCATTAAAATGCTATTTATCTCATCCAAACTCACTGTTATTTTTATTTTGTTGAAGTAGTCACAAAATCTAAAATTTAGAATGGGTAGGCATATCTGGAGAATGAGTCTAAATCAAGAGACAGATTCCAAGTTAATTGATTTTAGGGTCATATTTTATTACCTATATGATTATATTGTGTAACTGGATATTTGTATAACCCATATGTATAAAGTAACAGCAGAACACTGCAAACTTCAATGTACCATACAAAATACAGTTCCCTTACTATTTGGGGGAGGGGGAGAAGGAAACAAATACTATATGTTTCAATTGTTTTATATATTGTGATTTTCAAATGCTTCTCAGAGATGTAGCTGTTACTTATTCTATGGATTTGACTCCATCATTGTTCACATACTGTGCTGCCTAACATGCATAAACTGTTTGACTGTGAAGAAATGATGAAGGGTCTAAGCATAGTAGCCATCTGTGAATGAACTTCCTGAAGGAGAGATGAAGATTGTTGGGTTGGATTGGGTTATTTTCTTCACAAGAATGTTTGTGCACTAATGTTGGAACCAAACCAGAATATTTTTTTATATTTTTATCAAGACATGACTCTGTAAGCAGGAAGATTGTTACATTAAATTATTATATATTTAAATCACAATTTAGCAGTAGATTGCACTAAATTTCTGTCAGCCTAGAGCTAATACAAATTTTTACTTTCCTGTTGCAGAAGTATATTTAAATCAATACTCATCTAAACAAAAAGCAAATTCTATGAATACCTATTTTTCTTCTGGTAGTTAGGTAGAGGCAGAAGGTCACATTTAAACAGTCATCAGTAGCAAAAAAGGAGATGAATCTCAAATACAATATAATCTTAAATTTTGGCTAAAAATTTAAAAAGTAATCAACTAATCCTGAAAAACCTGTTTGATTCCATGAGTCTTGCATTGCCATCTGCACAGGTTGTCCAGTTTCTGGAGCATGATGATTATGACACTTGTGAGGGAAGTGAGAGAGTTGACTGTATTTTAGTTAGTGGAAACCTTGAATCGTGACAACCAACCCCTTCCTTTGGTCACCACAAAAATATGCAAAGAGAGCACCAAGAAGGGGCTTCACATTTAGATACCGAGCAAACAAAACTGATTTATTAATTGTTCAGCTTCAGATGTGTAAATCTGGGAGAAGGGTGTAAGAAATTAATTCATGCCTCATGTTTATTTCAGATTGGCAATATGACATCAGTGTGTGGCATTTTTAGAGTGATTTTCTGAAATATCTAATTCAGTGTACGTTGACTATAAAGAGTCTAGACATCTTTCTCCAGCACCCAGAATTCACTACTGACATATGGGATTTTAGGTTGACAGCAAAACAAACTAATTTAACAAATGAATGCAGTGAGAAAATAAATGTTACTAATGCTCCTGAAAAAGTTTACATTTGGGAATAGTGCTTGTGCTCATTTGTACTTATATTTTCAATAGTGGCAACTACGGTGAGCTAGACTGTCAGAGCCCAGTTCAGACAAGACACTCTGGTGCCTTAATTTTTTTGCCCTTGTTATGTTGGGGTTAAGTATGCAGAATCAGCCTAGGAAGTACTTATTTTTATGAATCCATATGCAAATGTTTCATTTCCTTCTATGCCTCTTACTGATAATTAACCAGTATTATGTTACTACAGTATCACAGGAGCAATCTGATGATTTCATGGAAAGCTTCATCACAAATAAAGGCCAGGATTTCTTTAACCATCCCTCTGATTTTCTCCTCATTATAATAAAAAGGACAGAGGAACTATTTCCAGTCTAACCACTAATAGAACACTGTCCTTTTCAAAGAATCTGAAGATTCCTTTATCTTCTCAAAATACTAAAAATTTCTTAACCAAAAAAACCACAGTGAAAAAAGTCCTGCAAAATCTCCCATCCCTAAACTTTGAATGGCTCTTTAGATGGAAATAAATTTTCTCCACAGGGAATTAAATTCTTCAAAGAAGGATCCATCCCTTGAACTCTTTTCTTGTCTTACAAGAAAATGGGAACCACAAAACATAAAACTTAATTGAGACTCACTAAAGGAAGGCTCAGTCGAGCAGAGCATTAAAGGTCACATAGCTTTCTATTAAAGAGAGGCAGAAGTATTAACTTCAGGGCTTTTGCAAGCTTGTGTTGAGCACGTCCAGTTGCTGCTGACTGACTGCACAGGGGCCGTAGCAGCGTGAATCCTCTTAGGTGGTGAGCAACCTCTGCTCAGCTGGATTCACCAGGAGCCATGCATCCCAGCTTCTCTGGTTTCACTTACGACATGATGCATGAATTGACATATCTTTGACAGCAGAGGTAAACCCACCAGGAGCATATCTGTTTATTGAGGAGTGACAGCTTTATAGCCAACATAAAAATAATCTGATGTTTATTGGGGAAAATGTTTGAATACAGGATTAACTGAAACCATTAATAGAGAAAACTTTTCGTTCTTTTTAGATCCTGCAAATAAGAGGTTGGATTATGTTAAATGGCTGATTTTTGTATCATCATCATCATCTTTACTGCATTTGTATTCACTCATTTTTTCTTTGTTAATGACTTAGGTTTGAATATGAAATGTAAGAATAAACCAACTGTCTAGCTGAATGTATATGTTGCATTTATATTAAAGACACATGGTGTTGTGTCTCATATTAAGAATGGAAAATTATGCCCATCTGCACTGTCTTAATTTGGAGTTACAGCATTAAAATGATGGATGCTGTTATTTCAAGTCTGTAAACAACTTTGTTCTTATAAACTTGGATTTTCATGGGCTCATAATTTTAACAGTAAATGTTCTGGGTTAGAATTGGCTTGGTAAGCACGCGGTCAAGATACCTGTTACCTCTCATTCATTGGTTACCTTGCCTGAAATAGTAAAGGTAGTAGTGTCCTGGTTTCCAGTTTTATAACTCAACATTTGAATAACTTACAGTTTAAAGTTCTGTTAACCTTAGAACTTGATGGTCCTGGGAAAGTGCAAAACACAATTGTCATCGATCATTTGAGATTTCATCACTTTTTCTGAGTTATTTGACAATTTATGTTGAATTTGGTTTGGGAAGGAGCAATTACCTCCATGTTTACACAGCCCAATAGCTCTGTAACTATTCCTGTCTTTTCTCAGCACCACCTTACCACACTTTCTTGTACCTATAATTGTCTGTATGATCACACACCTTTTTTTAATAAGCAACACCCTGAGTCATACGTTTAGTGGGATTAGGTTATAAAGCTGCACAAAACTTGTCAGCTATGGGTGGAGTAGGTGGGAGAACAGCCAAGACCAAGCAGGAGCTGGATGAGTGTGGAGTTGTCAGCAAACATGCAGAAGCTAGAGGGTTCCTTGCTTACACGGTATCAGCGATCATTCATCAATTAAGAAGTTTGTTAGCACTCTCCTTTGTCCTGCCTCTATCCATTGGCTATCTGTCATGGTAACAAGTGCTTCAGAACTACAGCAGTGCTCTTGAGGCCTGGCTCTCCCAGCTGGCTGCAGATGATACTTCGCTTCTTCGAACTGCCAACAGGTCAGGGAAGGAGACTTGCAGGATTGCCAGCCCTGCAGGCAAGCACCGGCCTCTGGCACTCACCAGCAATCATAACCACCCGTTCCTGGGGCCCAGCTGGATGTGT